AAGACGACTACTGTGGGCCTCTAATATGTGTGACGGTACTCTAACAGCTGATGCAAATTGGAGGTGTGGTCGATGCAGTCACGACCCCCGACGAAGCCCCGCTTGCTCCTCACGAATATGGCTTTCACGAGCGCCAGTTTGTGAAGGATTACAGAGGCCAGTAATTTGGAGCTGAGGGGGGTCAGACATATTCCTCTATGGTTTCCGCATTTCGAACGCGAGCCACTCTTGAACATCGGGACAATAATGGAGCGGCTCCGGTCGGTTGGGACAATTTCCTGCTCACAAAGTTTCACTAGTAATTCGTGTAAATCATCAACAAGAACAAAGCCGCCGGATTTGAAGAGAGCAAGATGAGGATCATATGGTTTTACGGCTTTATTCAACTTCAACAGTCTAATTTCATGTCCGACCTCAGAGGGAGAGGGCGAATCCAAAGGGACAGCCCAAGGAGCAGGGCGATCACTGGCCGGTGAGGAATCTATTATTTCCGGCCGATTAAATTACTTTTCAAAGTGCTCAACCCAAAGCTCCAAGCAGTTCGACAAGCTGTAGATAGGCTGTCCACTCTCGTCACTTATAGTTTCCACCAGGCGTCCTGCTGCTCGTTTCCTGTATCAAACGGAATAACTTTGGATGGTTATCAAGGGCAACGGTCACTATCCTCAGAATTCGCGGTCTCTCTTCAGGCTAGCGCAGAGCTTTGTCCTTCAGCTGTCCTCCAGTGAGTGTTTACTCGGTTCGGATGCCACCGTACTTCGATATGCATTCAGAACATCTGGCTTCGCCAGTTGACTGGTGTCAATGCGCTCGTAGTGTCGTCGAAGGCGTCCGCCAAAACACATCCGCAGATTAGCACATGCAGGTGCACGGTCAGCGTCCACACATGTGTTCCAAATCGAACGACGGTTTTGGACGCAGCCTCTCCAGCTGTAACTTATCGCATGTGATCGATTTGCGTCCATAGCCGGTTCGAGGCTGGTGGGTGCCAAGCCACCCTCCGGCGGGTGCTGTGTCGGATGTTAGTGCTCGCAAGAAATAAGCGGGCACTCAGACAAATGAAGTAATCGCTCATCGTTATTATTACGGGAGCCTACACCGTGTTGTCCGCCCAGATGCAGTTCATCAGTGGATAATTTTCCACCTTGAGCATCCAGATCCCCCGCCAGCACAACAGTGTCCGAGCTTCCTCTGTCGCGAAGGAGCAAGTTCAACTGGCGGTAGAAGTCGTTCTTTACCGAATCATCGCTACAGTTTGTGGGCGCGTTGGCAGCGATGATGAATAAACACCTACTAGTCCCGCACGACTTTGAAGCTTTAAACGAGCCAGCCAATCGGACCGCACACATCCGGCTACTGATTGGAATCCAATCAACCAGAGCAGCTTCAGCCCGCGGACTCAGGGCAATCCCAGCACCAGCTTGGCCGGTGCTCGAAGCTGCATCGTCACCGGATAGGCGCAATGAGAAAGTGCTGTTAGTGTCACCTGAAGGGGGATCGCAATGAGCACACAGCTCGAGTCTTGCAGACGGGTCTTTGATAAGCAGCAGATATCGATTGAAAACGTCTCTAATATTTGGGCAAGTGCTGCCTGTTGACCGGTCTGTAGCAATGTGCGTACACTGAGGCATGCCAATCTTAAGGAGGATCGAGGTCTCCAAATGGAAGCCGATGGACTGGGTTGGACTGCTTAGTTGGATATGGGATTGTCGACAGGGGAGGAGTGACGCTCCGCGTTTGCATGTGAGTTGAGACTAGAAGATAAACACCAATCAAAACAAGATGGGGGAGGGCCAAGAATCGGGGGGTTGAAAAGACGGGGGATAAAAGTGAAGTTGGGACGGGACGACAAGGGTGAAAAAGCATAAGTGGGGGAATAAGAAGACGAGAAGGCATGAGCAGTAGCATCCAAGCCCCGATCCACTCTGCTCGATGCAGCAGATGTGGCGCCGTTGATTATCCTCTGCAACGGCCAGAGCAACAAGAGATTGTTTGGAGAGAAATGCATTGTATTGCGTGTGCAGCATATTGTCAGGTTGCCCAAGCCTAGACAGAAGAACGATTAGGGTTCTCAACCAAAGCGTTTGGTTCAAAAATCTGAACGCAAGGCAGCGGGTTGGGCGTTAGGCTACAAGGAGTCCGTTTTAAGGAATAAGGAGCCACCCTCATTCCAATCCCCTACCTGGAGGGCCAGGAGGCTGTTTGTCTGGCCCCTAGCAATTGAGCAAGCTAGTATGAGTGGCTCTGAAGATGCAAAAGAGCACCACCCAGCATAGCTCAATGGATCTCTGAGGCACGCAAACCATCGCACCACAGTAAAGTCCAGCCTTATAGCGATGGGCATGTAAAGTAGCGCGCCTGAAACTCAGCAATTCGATTCCAGAGGATCAGCGAACAACCGGGGTTGACAGCGGTATGGAGGAACTTACGGCGGGCCGGTTTGTAACCCCGGTCTTGTTCAAAAATAGGAGTGATAGGTTTCAAATGTCCGTCTTAGGTCACTTCCGCGAGTGGTGTCGAAGGGAGTGGCCACTTCGACGTTCAGAAGCCCAGGTACGCTGTACCGGCTGCATTTCAGTTTGGAATCCATCAATGATGCGAGTTGCATTCCAGAGATTTCCTGCAGTTCTATGCGATTTGGTAAGTGACAGTAACACAGTGGGGCGAGGTAACTTTCGAGGTGTTGAGCCCGTCGTTTGCATCGCCAACCTCGGTGAATTTCTTCCCAAACCTGAGAATGTTTGGAATATGCATATTCTTGGGCTAAATTTCGCCCACTGAACCCGGGTGAGTTTGCAACAGCCCTCGGTTGTTCCTGATAACACAGGTCTTCCGTAGCTTACTCGTTTACTATCCAATGTCACTTATAGTGAATCGGGAGATTTCTGGTCATATCGTTGCAAACCGTTGTGAGTACTCTGAAATAGACTGCTCTACCAAATTAACCATGGCAGTGGTGTTAACCAACCTGTAGTCCAGAGGGATGACGTTCCAAATCTGTTCGACGATGTTGATTAGCTGCTTGCAATTTAATCGACGAGTAAGCGACCATGAAATTGGGAAATCTCCAGACTGTTACACTGGGAGCAAAAGTAACACGGATGCGCATCAATGAGGGCTCAAGGTTAGGATCGACGGATGCTTTTGTACTTAAGTTCACCAACCGCAGTTGATAATGGTGTGGCTTGTTTGTGTCTATAGTAGTACATCGACTAACTAACTCCATGTGATAAGAATGCTTGTGCTAAGGACTCTGCTGCCGATAATGGGACTGTGGTCGGCGGTTACCATAGCCACTGTAATCAGCGTGCGCCCTAAATTGGCGACATCTTCCATATTCGTTGGATAAGCGATACGCCCGACCAATCATGTCGTCATAATCGCGCACAATTTCCTTGTCTGTATCCGTTCTTATGTTACCAGCAGTATTCAAAAGACTGGTGCTGATTTCTCGCCTCGCAGGGCCGTTGCTGTTGAGAAATCATTTATACACTAGTTACTGCGGAATAGTGAATTTCGTATAAATGGTTTTACAATTTCTGTTCATCTGGATCAATGGTGATGCCATCAATATCCAATTCTGCCGATTTTTTAAAGACCACGTCACCGCTTTTTGCTCGTAATTTGTTGAATATTCCCATAGTCATGAACATCTTTAAAAATATTATGAGAAAGCACGGATCTGGTTGGCAAGTCAGTCTAAGACGCCGTTCACTAAACCGGACGCATTTGCCAACAATCTTCGATCATTACTGGGAACAACCGTGGATCTTACCGCAATCTAACATCGTAGTGAATATTCAAATGCCGGCGTTTTGATGCTAAAGAGAAGTTGGTTGCATTCTGATATGGAAGATAAAATTATTCCACCTACTGACTATCGTTCCATCAAGTCCAATCGACCGGGATTAACTCACAAAATGGTGGAGGTAGTATAATTATTTATATCAACCAACGCTGGTGCAATTCGGCTCCCATGGTGGGTGAACTCAGGCTCTAACAATACAAACCAAAACTGTGAATCGCTGCTAATAAACAGTTGGACAGGAAAGGTGACGGCATTGAAAGCAGGATAAGGAAGTTTAACGTCCGGAACAGACATGACAAAAGGATGCTAAACGATGAAAAACGGAAAACCAAACAAAAAACGACAAGGTTTGGTCTTATCGGGGTGCTGGCTACAAGATGGCTGCGATGGAGTTCGCAACCGGGGTCACCAATTGTAGAGCCGAACTCAGTTACTGGTAGCGACAATTACCAACCACGGATACCGAGTATACAGAAGAGAAACGTTGCCAAACCCAACGTGTATTGTATAAACTACAAAGAACTGGGAGTCAATTAGTGAAGCACGAAGCGATGAACCGCAAAACTCACAGGAAACGAATGTGAACAAGAGGTGCCGTCAGTAAAACAAATGGACGATCGGAGAATACAAATGAGAACAAAATCCAGTGTCACAAAATACTGAAAGCATGAATGTTCTGCTTTCACTACAGAGGTCTCCCCCTAGAAGGATGATGGAGAGAAGGCTTCGACAAATGTCAGGTGGGGGGACGATGTGAAGAATGGGGAGTAGAGTAGGGATGGAAGGCGCATGCATGTAGAAAGGGAGCTCGTGGAGTTTGCTGGGCTCGGTATTCTTTCCTATTTCTTTTTGGGCGTGGACTGAAGTGCATCCTCGGTGGGCCGTCGGGGCGGGCTGGTCGGACTGCAAAAAAAAACTGGCTAGTCCAGAAAAACGGCTGACAGGACATTTCCTTTGCTGCTGCCCCACGGTTCGTTTGGGAGGTGTCACACCCCACCGCACTCGAAGTCCACGGCTGTAACGATCCTCGTCCACGAAGAACCCCGGAAATCGCCTTTGAGGAACCATTTACCAGAACTCGCGGACCAGATCAGTCGTTGTCACACCGGTATGGGAAGGCATGGTCGCTTGGAGCTAGGACTATGGGGCCTGGAGGCTTTGGGCAGACGGGCCAGGAGATTCCGCGGTTTATCAGGGGACTTGAGTACTGGAATGTGAAACTCGAGGAGGATGGGACGTCATCGGGATAGGCGGCGGGATGCCGTATGGGTAACGAAGCAAGTATACGAAACAAAACGTGCTCAATTTTCTGTTTCCTTTTGAAAAAAGGGTTTAGGTTGTTTTTCATCGTTTGGCAAAACGTTTGTAAATGAAACTCACGTTTACCAAGAAAGGTGGGAAATACGCACGTCAAGGAATATAGTAAACGTTAACAAAATCTGAGAATCGGATCGGACGTTTGACCTGTCTAACGCGTCAGTCAGCTGCCTAAGATTAGGGCTAGGTTGGCGGTTGTGAAATCTGGCCGCTTAAAGCAGCGGACTTGAAGAGGCTAGTTACGTTCGATCACCGGTGCCTTCGTAATTAAGCTCACATCTGGTAGGAACACCGCGTGAGCAACGAGCGTGTTCCACGCCTCATTTACGGCACAGGAAAAGGAAATGAACCGTTCGGTGCCGTTGTTTCACGCACCAGGCTCCGATGGCTCGGTCAAGCGTTGCACATCCCAGCCCACGGACTTCCGCGACTTTCCTTGTTTGTGCGCCCGTGATGTGGATGGAGGAAGAGGAGGGGTGGCCAAGCGATGACTTGGTCCAGAGGAATGAAGGCCCTCACTTCTGAGCTGGCCTCGGTTGGCGCGTCTCGGCTCCCTGGTTGGGGTCCCAAAAACGATGAACACGTTTGGTTGGACATACTTGCTGATATGGCTAGGAGCCGACCTCAGTGGCGTTCGTGCTGTGAGTTTCTTTGTCCCACCCCATCCCTCTTAGCCTCCCCCTCCAACCACGATCTCATTATTTAGCCTTATGTAATTTTGCATAGTAATTTTTTTTTGATGCACAGCAGCCGGCTGGTAGCTTACCGGAACGATGCCCATCCGTTACCGGTAGCTCAGCCAGCTTGCACCAGTTGCATTTTTTCTCCTTTTTTCTGTGTATTGCGGCACAGTAGCTGAGGTGTTCCCCACCTCTAGCTAACGTGTATGATGATGATGGCGGAGGGTCAAGGGTAAAAGTCGGGTCTAGGGTACCTGGTGCGGAAGATGCAGCTGAGCGTAAGTTTAGCTTTGAGGCTGTACCAGGTAAAGTTGGGAGCGGATCTCCGATAAATGTCACCTTAAGAAGATCGATTCACACCGTTGTTCGGGGACCATTCTGGTCTAAGATAAACTGCTTAGGAGCTCGTTGGAGAACTCCGAAGAGGCCGGTGTAGGGAGGTTGAAGGGGACGACGCACTGCGTCTGTACGGACGAAGACGTGGGTGCAGGTAGAGTCCACTGTGCACTTGCACATCTCTGGTCTGCTCACGAGGAGGGGTAGGGCGCAGCGAATGTGTTGAGGAAGGAAGGCTGCGAGAATTGACGGTGACATACACAATGGCGAAATGAACTCTCCTGGCAGGTTAAGCGTTTTGCCATGTACGAGCTCTGCTGGTGCGCAGTGCAGGTCAGCTTTGATGCTGCTGCAGATACCTAGAAGTACTAACGAAATGTTTTCGCTCCAGACAGGATCAGAAGTGGCACCGAGAGATGACCTAAGCTGTCGATGAAAGCGCTCGACTAGGCCATTCGCCGCTTGGTGATATGCCGCCGTGCGGATATGGCGGCAGCCTAAGAAGTTGCAGAACGTATCGAATTGCGAAAATTCGAAAGGCGTTCCACGGTCGGTAGTGATGATGTATGGGCATCCGTAATGGGACACCCAACGGTCCGAAAACCCACGATGGTTGTTTCGGCCGTACAGTCTGTTACAGGGATGGTTTCTGGCCATCTGGTGAAGCGGTCGACCCATGTCAATTTCTATACGGATCCGCGAGAGGGGGTATGGGTCTTACCAGGTCTAAGTATACGTGAGAACCGCGAATCCGGCACAGAGAATGAGCAGAGAGGACTACGGGTGTGTCAATGTACCTTGAACCGCTGGCAGTGAAGACAAGCTCGAGCCCAGTTACGAACGTCTTTGTTTACGTTTGGCCAAACGAAACGCTCGGTGACCAGTTTTAAAGAAGCCCGAATAGCAGGATGAGATAGCGAAAGACGGGAGTCTAAGACTGTGCGTATTAAAGTGGCGGATACGATGGGTATTGCACAACATGTAGAAGTGTCACAATGGATAGTTCCGTCCGTAGTTTGGACAGGAACAGATTTCACATGCGGTGAAGTGGAATGCAGGGTGCGTTGGAGGCCTTTGTCATGGGCCTGAGCCGATGCAATGGCGGTGAGATCGAAAGCAGGTAACGAGCAAAGAGGGAGGTTGACGCGAGAGAGAGAGAGCGGCGGCGACACCTGAGATATGGCGTGTCAGCGGTGAACTGCGTGACAAAGTCTAAGTGTATAGTTTCTCGTGGTGAATATTTGTCAGAAGATGAGAGGCTTGTGATCAGTGCAGACCGTGAAAGCCCGACCTTCTAATGTGTGTCGGAAGTGACTAATAGCTAAGTAGATGGCAAGCAATTCTCTACCAAACGTGCTGTAGCGGGATTCCGCTGGTTGTAAGCGTTTGGAGAAGAAACCGAGTGGTTGCCACTGTCCACCAACATGTTGTTGGAGAACAGCTCCTATCGGAACGTCTGAAGCGTCAGTTGTCAAATAAAGGGGAACAGACGGTTCGGAGTGAGCGAAGAGAGCTATGTTGAAGATAACATCCTTAAGCTAAGTGAAAGTCGTGTGTACTGTGTCGGGGAAAGCAAACATACGTTCGTTTCCTCTAAGGTCACTCAGCAGCTGCCTGAGTTGAGCGCAACGGGAGATGAAGCGTCGATGGTAGTTGACTAGTCCACAAAATCGACAGGTGTTTAGATGAAGTCGGAGCTGGGAAATCTTTGGTGGATTGGACCTTGTCCGAAAGAACCCCGATGCCAGCTGAGGTGACGAGATGGCCTAGGAATTCCACCGAGGACTTGCCTAGTCCGCACTTAGTTGGATTGACGGCGACGCCGTGTGGGGTCAACCGCTGGAAGAGGGACTGTAAATGAGCTAGATGCTTTTCGTCAGACGAACTGGCCACTAAAATGTCATCGAAGTAGGTGTAGGCGAAATGTAGGCCACAGGTGACATTGTGGATGGATCGTTGAAAAGTCTGTGAGGCGGTGCACAGTCCAAAATGCATATGTAAAAATTCAAACAAGCCGAGAGGGGTCATGACGGCTGTTTTAGATATGTCCTTCTCCTCAAAAGGTATTTGGTGATAGGCTCGAACAAGATTGATCTTGCTGAAGACCGTTTTACCTGTGAGGCATGCAGTGAGGTCCTGCATATGTGGGATGGGTTATCTGTCTGGACCGTAAGTTTGTTTAGGGTCAGGTAGTCACCACAGGGGCGCCAGTCTCCAGATTTTTTTGGGACCGTCTGGAGTGGAGATGACCAAGGGCGGATTATCCCAAGTTCGAGTATATGTTCAAACTTCGCCCCAGCTAGTTTTAGTTTCTCCGGCGACAGTCAGCGCGGGCGTGATGACACGGGTGGGCAGTTGGTACGGATATGGTGCGTGACCTGAGATGCCACGGGGAGAGATTCGTTCATTGGCTGAACGAGCTCGGGGTATTAAGAGAATAGTTGGATATAGTCGGAGGAAGTCTGTGGGCAAACGTAGACTGAGATGATAACTGCAATGCCGGCGTTGGTACCAGCAACGCTGAGCGTTGTTGCGGAGTCGACTATCCTCTGTTGTTCCGCATCGACCAAGAGGTCGAAAGGTCTGAGGAAGGCTATGCCGATGATGGCAAACGGGACGACGACAATAATGAACACCCACCGAAAAGTTCTACGGAGACCCAAGTTAACGGTTAAAGAACGCTGACCGTAAGTAGGGATTAGTGCGCCGTTGGCAGCACGAAGACTGAGAGTGGCTGGCTGGGTTGCGTCACCAAGTACAGGAGGAACCACGCTTACTTCAGCCCCAGTATCGACCAGGAACGCGGTTCCATGGTTGTTAACGAATGCATTATACTTAGTTCACTCACTGTTAGATTTCTTAGGGTATTTTTATCCGAAAACTTAAAGTGGTCTACACACATCGACGAAACTTTTCGCAAGGTAAGGAGACTATCATTTCAGTTCCAGAGATATACCTTTATTTATTTATTTACAGATATTGGTGAAGTAAACGTTGTGTTGCTCACTAGTTTCGTGCCTGTTTACACCCTTCAGATAAAGACAGGCTGGGAGTCGAATCCAGGACGTAGAGACAGTCGGTTGAAGCCGTTACCTTTCCACCACCGAACTGTGGGCAACAGTTAGTGACTCATTGTCGGATCATCCGAAGCAATCAGTGCTGCGGTGAATTTTCGTACACCCAGTTGACCCGAGAAAGCACTTTGTCAAAGGGAAGATCTCGACAACTTTTCGCCACCTGTCCGCAATCAAATGATAACGCGGTTCTTTATGGTCACCGACATAACACTGTAAGCGCATGCGAGACGTCTGGTGTAATCGTTGCAATTCTCATCAACGGTCAATTGTGGTTGTCTCCGGCTTTGATCAATGTGACAACGGACAGCCGGAGGCCCCTACTCATCGGCATCGTGCGATGCATTATGCATAGGTCAACCCAAACACGATATATTTAAAAGCAAAGCGTAATAGCTAAGACTGCAGCATATGCAGGTGGGGATAGCTCAGGCGACTTATCCTGCCAGGTGAAGATGAGAAGAGTTTGCTGAAACACCTGAGTCAATTACAGCGGAGAATTCTCGCGGCAGTGTAGCGGCCTTAACATTATTTAGTTTCCAAACACGGGTCCTTCTACATTTGGAGCGGCATTGAGATCTTAGATGTTAGCAACAATGTCTGTCGAATTCTAGCAGGTATCGCGAGACTGATAAGGAACCTTAGGAGAAAGCCAAGCTGATTCGTGGTTGAACGACGACTTCATAGAAATGTAGCCAGATTGGTAAACCGATCGACCACTCCGGCCATTTGTCTGGTGACAGAACTATCGATGGGTGGGTCATGTAATTTAATAATATATTGCCAAGGTACACACATCTACGCAAGAGCCATATTCAGTAGCGCTTAAATAGCAACTGATTTCAACCCATGGATAGTTAAGTCATCTAACAATGTCATTACCATGGAAGAGATTGGGGAAATGGGTTAAGATCAATTGTGATTTTCCGATCACGAGAGAGATGGAGTTTTGGAGCACTCCACTTGTCGTGACAAACTTGTGGGAGAGTCCCCCGTAGAATCCTTCGGGTATGGTCACCACAGGCAGATATCACCACAAACGTGTGGAAAACGGAATCAGAAGCTGCTTACACGATAGGTTGAAGGCATAGCGGCTCGTTTATTAGATGTCAACTAGTTGATTAAATCTGACATACATTTAGGGTGACTTTGCTGAAAATGGCGAACATAACCTTTTGGACTTTTCGCAGTCATTAGCCAATAGGGGGACTCACTTAGGGTTGACAATACAATGAAAAGCGGTAAACGAGGGAAATGACTGAAAATAACCAATCACTTCCATTGCTGACGCATAGCATTTATAAAAGTAACCATTTTCCACAGTGGTCCAATAAAAGGTTAAGTTTGATCCCTTTTCGTTCGTGATTGCATAAACAGGCTAGATCACTTGATAACGACGGCAAAACCGACTGGCCACATCACCCTTGATCATCTGAAATGCTGAAGAGAGATCCAGACTTTCTATGAGAAAGGTTAGCAGACATGATCGCGTTCGACAGAGGGGTCTTATGATTCTTACAAATGCGATCCTGTAGCTTTGAGAAAACAGTCAGGATGTTGATCAAATGACTGTGAGCATTCTATTCATACTCAACACACGACTCATGTTTCCGAATGGGTGAAAGCGACACAAACGGCCTTGTTTTCTATACGAGCTCGATAGCATGGTGAAGGAGATGATCGAAAAGTTGAACCGGTTTACGAACATGCGTCTAGGCACGTCAGTAGTAAGAAATTCTATCGGATGTTTCGTAAATGTTTACATTCATGTTTTGTCAACTTTAACTCCGTCAAATTAAGTGAACTAGACGCGAGACGCTAGTTCGTGTTGATTTACTCGAACCAGAGTGAATGATCGCTCGGTTGACCACTGGTGTGACCGACTCGCACTAGTCCCAGTATAAGTTGCATTATACGCACGTAGCACGGGCAGAGTAAGAGCTTACGGCAAGCTGTCGCCACCCTTCAGCATCTCCAGCGGTGTAAGACAAGGATGCCCGTTGTCACCTTTCCTTTTCAACTTCGCTATTGACGAAATCATGGAGATTGCATTTACAGGACATGACTTGGAAGGGGAGGAGCTACTCCCAGGAGAACGACTTCTTGACTTGGAGTATGCAGACGACATTGCCCTCATCTGTGACAGCTCCCAGACGTGCCAAGCCGCGCTGGACAGATTAGCACTGGCTGTCAGCCGCTTCGGGCTTTGCTTTGCACCATCGAAATGCAAAGCGTTCCTCCAAGATTGGCAGAGATCGACTCCTGCGCTGACCCTTGGTGGGGATCAGCTAGAAGTCCTTCGGAAATTCAATTACCTGGGAAGTTGTATCAGCGCCCTTGGGATAGAAGACGAGATCACAAACCGTATAGCAAAAGCTCGAAGTGCTTTTGCTAACCTTCGCCACCTATGTCGGCGGCGCGACATCACTCTCGCCCTGAAGGGTAGAGTGTACAATGCAGCGGTACGTTCGACCTTACTGTACGGTTGCGAAACCTGGCCCCTAAGATCGGCGGACGTGAAGAGGCTAGTTACGTTCGACCATCGGTGTCTTCGCAGTTTGGCTCACATCTGGTGGAAACACCGCGTGAGTAACGAGCGTGTTCGACGCCTTGTTTACGGCACAGGAAAAAGAACTGAACCGCTCAACACCGTCATTTCACGCACCAGGCTCCGCTGGCTCGGCCACGTGTTGCGCATGCCAGCCCATCGACTTCCACGGCGTGCGTTGTTTGCTCACCGGGGATGTGGATGGAAGAAGACGGGTGGCCAAGCGATGACTTGATCGAGAGGAATGAAGACCCTCACTTCTGTGCTGGCCTCGGTTGCAGCGTCAGGGCACCCTGGTTGGGGTCCAAAAGACGGTGAACACGTTTGGCTGGATACACTTGCTGACATAGCACGGAGCCGACCTCAGTGGCGTTCATGATGTGAGTTACTTTGTCCTTCCCCATCGCTTTTAGCCTTTCCTTCCACCTACGATCTCATTTCTAAGCGTCAAACATAACAATTTTTCTTTTTGCCTAGTAGCTGGCTGGTAGCTTACCGGAACGATGCCTATCCGTTGCTGGTAGCTCAGCTGGCATGCGACTTTTGTATTTATTTTCCTTTTTCATTTATGTATTGTGGCACAGTAGCTGAGGTGTTTCCCACCTCTAGCTGACGTGTATAATGATGATGATGATGATAAATTGCATGCCCCTCGTGTCCCTAAACCAGTTATCTAACAGACACACGGCTTGCGACTCTGCTTTTGAGGCCACGCGAGGCCGCGTATTTTGGCTATGGTTCTAAAGTGGCACCTCAAACCGTTCAGCACATTTGGGAATTTAAAGAATCAGCGGAACACAGAAATCTCGCACTGACGCTTCACTGTCACGTAACCACCCGCAGCTGTTATTAGGCTGGGATTCACCAGAACTTATGCAGACTCGAACCATCGACCAGTTCAACATCCTGCTGTGTCAGGTTAACTCCCATTTTCACTGGTTCATTGAAGCGGTTGTGAGAAGTCGAATTAAGCTATACCTTGCGTACAAAAGTTATCTTAGAATATTCCTAATTTTCCACGTCTTTTATTACCACCAAACCGAAGTAAATGAGAGGTATCGTCTATGATACTAAAGAGACGGCACGAAATGCTTGCATTCACAGAGCTCCGCTATTCATCCACGAGGGGACTAATCGCTTAAGAGTACAAAATGGAAGCATGATTCACTTCACAATCGATTGGACTGGCTTCGGAATTCATGCTGTGTAGAAGCCCTGTATCAGTTCGTTATAGTCAAGACAGAGTGAAAACCCATTTTTCTATGCACAATTTAAACGTATGTTTCAATAATGGCTTTGATACAAACTGTACTTTAAATTTTTAACCTCGCTTTATGCTAGCGCGTCCATCGCGGCTGCCACGGTGGCAGACAAATCCTCACCGGGAGAGGCTGTTGCCCAAGTTGGTAAAGGCGCCGTATAGCACCAATCCGGTGCGGCGTACCGATATGCATGGAGCCTCAAGACAAGGTTGTTCATTGTCGGATTCTTGAACGAAAGTTGGCACTCCGGACAAGTGGGATCGAATGACTGCAACAGGCGGTCCCGAGCGGACGAGTTTATTGAACAACACCTGTCAATTCGAGCCTTGAATCGTTCTAAGGGTGGGGTGGTTTCATGCCCAGGTTCAGTCTGTAGTGGAAAAGGAAGTGAGTGACGCGTGTGAAAAAAACCCGAGTGCACTGGAGAAGCACAAATTAAACTCGCACTATTGCTAGTGGAGTTGTGTCGATCCGGTTCACTTTTCAAAATATGTCCGTACCTCCTCGTTTTCTATGTAAGCAGATATGGATCTGTGATTAGAAATGCGCCGGACCACTTCATCAGCTGGAACGTCGTATTGAGCACCCTTGCCTTTCTGATCTCCCCAAACAGTCGAATTGTACAGTGGGTCGTTGACAAGCGGGTGGCCTGGATTGAGGTTGACAAACACAAGAGAGAACAATGAGCTATAGTAGCCAGAGCTGCAGCCATGACGAATGGACTGCGATTCCGCTAGTAGTGAACGTAAAAATTAGATAAAGAGCAGAAAACGAAATAAGTATTTTGAGTTATAAAACTGATAATCCAGTGGAGCAGTGATTCATGACGGGTATGAAAGTGAATGCTTGACATGACCCGTAGGATGATTAGGGTGAAAATTAAAAAGTTACGAAAAAAAGGTGTCAGTAAAACATCGTGTGATATACATGACTCACCAAGGGGTTTGGAGTAGTACAAGTGCGAGTATTCCTGCATGCTGCTTTAAGATACCGTCCACCGTGTGTTTTGCACCGATACCATCATCTGATGATCATATACTATATTACATAGTGTAAATGTGTAAGAGTAACGTTAGGGCGTTTTTTGAAAAGGGATAACGTAAAGGCATCTAATACATGCGTCGGGAGAGGGTCCCAGGACTGAGACACTCGGAGGGTGAAAACGTTGCGCCGACATTCCAGTCGGCTGTATTGCCTGACCAACTTAAACTAACGACCCCTTAGAGGTGTGTTTTGACTGCGTTTCAAAAGAGAATAGCACGTGTGGTTGGGGTTTCTCAGGATCTGATACACAATAATGAGATCTCTCCGTAGACGCTGATAACAGCCGCTGTACACTTTCAGATTTTTTAGTTTGAGTGGGTAGGGATGGCGGAACAGACCTCTGACGTTGGTTGCCGCCCCACGTTGTGCAATATCGAGCGCGGTGAGGTGGTGCTTCGGCCATGACTGCCAAGCGTGGATAGCGTATTGCGCGTATGGTCTCACGTACGCGCCAAGCATTTTCGGAAACATTGAGGCGTCTAACTTCCCGAACGTTTTATGAAGGAGACCGAAGTGTTGGTTTGGTTTCTTCGATACCTTTTCAGCCTGCCTCAAAGCTCCAAGGTCCTCTAGAAGGAGCAAACCAAGATCGCACTCACGAGAACCCCGCTGTAGAATTTGTGGTCCTAAGCGATAGTTATGAGTACATCGATGGCGTTTGCTCACAATTTTGCACTTTCGGCGTTGAACGGCAGCATGTTCTCGATGTGTATGCCTTATCCAGGTCATCCTGTAGGACTGTGTGATTCTCCACTGAAGCGATAGCACGCCACATCTTTAGATCATTGGTAAATAGTAAACGGTTTAAAAGCAGCACGCTTGCAAAATCATGTATGAAGGCCAGGAACAGGCGGGCCCCGAGTACCGAGCCCTGAGGTAAGCAGCACTGAAATACGTTTGGTTCCTACAGGGCACTGCGAACCCTTACATTCAGGTGACATCGAACGAGAATGTCGCCTATCTATCCCGGAACGGGATCGCCGATGCCATAATTCTGAAGTTTGTGCAGCAGAACTCGATGATTCAGGCGGTCGAATGCCTTTGAGAAGTTCAGGTAGGCTGCGGCTACTTCGACACCAGCGGCGACAGATTGCACGAGCTATCAACAGATTAGTGGTGCAGGATCGATTTTGGCGAAATCCGTGCGGATCCGGAATCAGAATGTTGTTACTCTCCAGGTACTTCATGAGAGTCTCAGCTATAATGGACTCCGTGATCTTGGGGATCACTGGAAATGTTATAGGGTGATAATTCTCTGGTTCTGCACAGCTACCTCTTTTGGAGATTGGAGTGATGATCCTGTGCTTCCACATCGTGGGGACGTGCATCTCAATAAGAGGAAGAAGGAGAATTGCTAACGGTTCAGCCAAACTCATGGCAACAAATTTCAACGCATTCGGATGAATGGCGTCCGTACTCGGAGAGAAGTATTCGCACAAGGACATCAACCGTTGCAATACAGCCGCGGTTGTAAGAGATGTGGTTAAGGCCTGGTGGCATCATGATCTGCATAAGCATGGTGTAGTATGATTGCACGCTTTGGAAGGTACGGCCAAATTATTGTCTAATAACGTCGGCCGCCTCTTGTACCGTTTGTGCTAACCCGCATGCTAAGCGCTGAGCAGGAATTCCGCGCATAACCCGGCGAAGTTCGTTTACGTGTGTTAGTGCAGAACTTTACCACGAGGTCTTGTTGGTTCTTTATCTTCTCGGACGAGTTTGACACATTGGCTCCTTTGTGTTGTAAAGACGTCCCAAGTGTTTTAGCTCGGAAAGGCTATGTGGGCGAGCCATGCCAAGTCCCTCATTGTCAAATATTTCCGAGTCCTGTTCCTTAAGAACAAGTTCAGCTTTTTGAGTTGGTGGATTTCGGTTTCAGATGTGCTTGCTACGAGCTTGCTGAACATGTTGACAAACTCCCCACAGGCCACCTCAGGGGACCATTCCTCTAGGAAAGACTAGCTTATTGCACCAATGAGTTCGGACAGATTATCATAGTTGACTACAATGTGAGATTCCTCGATATGGTCTTTAGGATACTCTGGGTAGCACAAATATTGGAACACTAGTGCCGCATGCACGTTGTTACTACAACGATCATGAGTTCCTAATTTGTAAAAACGTGACCCAAGAAGGCCGGTTTGTTTCCTGTCCTGTTGGAGAAGTGAAATGATTATACAGCCGAGAACCAACGGTGAGCTCTTGTAATTCCGCCTTGAATAGTTCACTCAGTGGTCAGGGTTTCTAGGCCGTGCAGCTTGAAGTCCCCTATCAAGAAAGTTTGGTTGTAAGCTCGTTCCAGCAGCTAAGGCCTGGTCATATTTTAAAGTGAACATTGGTGGGCGGTATACAATGGTCACTAAGCACCTATCACCTTGCCTTATGTGTAGGCAGCCATAAAAGGCGTCCACGGTTTGAATCCCAGGGTCGTTTAAGCGGTCGATGAGGTCGGAAGGGCGATAAAGAATTACACCGCTTCCCTATGTGGGTCGACTGTTGCGCGATAATGACACAAGCTAGCTTGTTTGGCCTGGATTCCCAGTGCTTGGCATATAGACTCCAATTGTTTCAAGTCGTACAGTAATATGTCTTTGACAGAGTTCGCCTTTGACTCAGGCACGTTGGGTTATATTATCTTCTCTGAATTATATGTCTTCCTGTTGTTCGTAAATTTGGATAAGAAAGTGCTTCCTATTACTCGCGGCGTTGTGGGCGGTCTTCTCGGAGGCGCATCGATGTGTTGGAAATAAGAGGCAAAAACAAGGAAAATTACTCAGATCTGGAGGTCATTAACACTCTCTAAATCTACCAGCAGAACTATATTAGTGATCCATCGATCCAAAATGAAACACAATATATGGTATTCAAAACCCCGGAATATACTGGGAACCGATTGAGAAGTAAAAGGTTCAGAGATTTGGTAATAAATGCGCTAACTGGTTAATTAGAGGGTTAATTTTAGACTACACGTTGTGTGATTGGGTTGCGACGCGCAATCTCAATGTGGGCCGCGATTCCCATTGAAGTGAACCTTGGTCACTGCGATCACTGGGACCGTAGTCAAAGCAGATGGAAATTGGGCGTTGCACGTGAGTTTGAGGCCTGCTATCTCCAAATGATGAGATGAAATGACATCGAAACGCCTCGTGGTTGTGCAGTGTTTTCGAGCAGGCAACACCTAATTTCTATCTACGCTAACTGATTGTTACTAAACGTCTCTGAACTCACAGTATATAGTTGTAGCTTCATCTTGGCTGACGAGGCACCGGAATTATTCGTTTTTGTCCGGTAACTGCTTGAGCAGTGTTGTAGGCCAGTGACTCAACACTCGGAAAATTTGCTCAGCTAACATTCAAGTCCGAAAGTGTGGCGAATCCGGTCGTCTTAGTTGGTGTCGACATTAGAGCAGTAAACAGCAATGTTTGGAGATGTGAAGGAGCAGACATAGGCATATATGCTAACCAAAACTAAATGGGAAAGAATTACACTCAACCTCAAGAAATTAATGCGAAAGCGTGTGCAGTTTCCCAATCGCACCCACTTACGTCATCGGTCCGAGGACGAGATATATATGGTTGGCGGCAACCGGTTTCGGATTTGCCTGTCACTGTGGCCAGCCACAGAACGCCTGCGCCTACAGAGAGACCACAGACGGCTTGTGCTGCACCACCTACACACTCCATATACAGCGTAAACCCGGAGAAATAAGATTGGGAGGCATGTGGATGGAAGCCACGTTGCATCAACGGAGCCAGCCCACACTCCTTCACAGGCAAACACAAGCACGCTGTATTTGGGGAAGCAAGCGCACACAAGGCGGTGGTTGGACCGTTGTCCGCTCCACACTGAGTGCATGGAACCGCTCTTCGAGCCAAGCACTGCGAAAAGGACCGGGCACCCCGCCCCCTCCAGCAACGACCAACTGTCTCCTGGAGGCAGTATGAACGAGGTAGTCGGTACTAGACAGTTAGGCACCTTATCAAAATGCACATCAAACGCAGCCACACTGGGGATATCAAGCAACAGCCATTCACTTGAAACGACAAGATGAAATAAAATAAATCCAATAATGCATACAGATACGGTGGCATAACTGTTCGCTAAATTACCATATAAAGTAAGTTGGTTAGCAACGAATTCGCGATTAGTAAGAAATGTCCACAAGTTAGTTGGAAATGCTACAAACGCAGCAATGTTACAGAAAATAAGTGCAATTAGCGTAAGCAACGTGGCCACTGAATAGGAGATTATTCAGGTAGGCAAAACAAACCAATTAAAGTGAAATGAAATGTATCCAGCTAAAAAAGACCTAGTTTAAGTGTAAAGTGGTTTAGCACAGCTGCGGTGAAGAAGCATCAATCATGCAACTTCATCCTCAGCATGGGGCATATATATATATATGTATATATATATACAATGTGAGATTCCTCGATATGGTCTTTAGGATACTCTGGGTAGCACAAATATTGGAACACTAGTGCCGCATGCACGTTGTTACTACAACGATCATGAGTTCCTAATTTGTAAAAACGTGACCCAAGAAGGCCGGTTTGTTTCCTGTCCTGTTGGAGAAGTGAAATGATTATACAGCCGAGAACCAACGGTGAGCTCTTGTAATTCCGCCTTGAATAGTTCACTCAGTGGTCAGGGTTTCTAGGCCGTGCAGCTTGAAGTCCCCTATCAAGAAAGTTTGGTTGTAAGCTCGTTCCAGCAGCTAAGGCCTGGTCATATTTTAAAGTGAACATTGGTGGGCGGTATACAATGGTCACTAAGCACCTATCACCTTGCCTTATGTGTAGGCAGCCATAAAAGGCGTCCACGGTTTGAATCCCAGGGTCGTTTAAGCGGTCGATGAGGTCGGAAGGGCGATAAAGAATTACACCGCTTCCCTATGTGGGTCGACTGTTGCGCGATAATGACACAAGCTAGCTTGTTTGGCCTGGATTCCCAGTGCTTGGCATATAGACTCCAATTGTTTCAAGTCGTACAGTAATATGTCTTTGACAGAGTTCGCCTTTGACTCAGGCACGTTGGGTTATATTATCTTCTCTGAATTATATGTCTTCCTGTTGTTCGTAAATTTGGATAAGAAAGTGCTTCCTATTACTCGCGGCGTTGTGGGCGGTCTTCTCGGAGGCGCATCGATGTGTTGGAAATAAGAGGCAAAAACAAGGAAAATTACTCAGATCTGGAGGTCATTAACACTCTCTAAATCTACCAGCAGAACTATATTAGTGATCCATCGATCCAAAATGAAACACAATATATGGTATTCAAAACCCCGGAATATACTGGGAACCGATTGAGAAGTAAAAGGTTCAGAGATTTGGTAATAAATGCGCTAACTGGTTAATTAGAGGGTTAATTTTAGACTACACGTTGTGTGATTGGATTGCGACGCGCAATCTCAATGTGGACCGCGATTCCCATTGAAGTGAACCTTGGTCACTGCGATCACTGGGACCGTAGTCAAAGCAGATGGAAATTGGGCGTTGCACGTGAGTTTGAGGCCTGCTATCTCCAAATGATGAGATGAAATGACATCGAAACGCCTCGTGGTTGTGCAGTGTTTTCGAGCAGGCAACACCTAATTTCTATCTACGCTAACTGATTGTTACTAAACGTCTCTGAACTCACAGTATATAGTTGTAGCTTCATCTTGGCTGACGAGGCACCGGAATTATTCGTTTTTGTCCGGTAACTGCTTGAGCAGCATTGTAGGCCAGTGACTCAACACTCGGAAAATTTGCTCAGCTAACATTCAAGTCCGAAAGTGTGGCGAATCCGGTCGTCTTAGTTGGTGTCGACATTAGAGCAGTAAACAGCAATGTTTGGAGATGTGAAGGAGCAGACATAGGCATATATGCTAACCAAAACTAAATGGGAAAGAATTACACTCAACCTCAAGAAATTAATGCGAAAGCGTGTGCAGTTTCCCAATCGCACCCACTTACGTCATCGGTCCGAGGACGAGATATATATGGTTGGCGGCAACCGGTTTCGGATTTGCCTGTCACTGTGGCCAGCCACAGAACGCCTGCGCCTACAGAGAGACCACAGACGGCTTGTGCTGCACCACCTACACACTCCATATACAGCGTAAACCCGGAGAAATAAGATTGGGAGGCATGTGGATGGAAGCCACGTTGCATCAACGGAGCCAGCCCACACTCCTTCACAGGCAAACACAAGCACGCTGTATTTGGGGAAGCAAGCGCACACAAGGCGGTGGTTGGACCGTTGTCCGCTCCACACTGAGTGCATGGAACCGCTCTTCGAGCCTAGCACTGCGAAAAGGACCGGGCACCCCGCCCCCTCCAGCAACGACCAACTGTCTCCTGGAGGCAGTATGAACGAGGTAGTCGGTACTAGACAGTTAGGCACCTTATCAAAATGCACATCAAACGCAGCCACACTGGGGATATCAAGCAACAGCCATTCACTTGAAACGACAAGATGAAATAAAATAAATCCAATAATGCATACAGATACGGTGGCATAACTGTTCGCTAAATTACCATATAAAGTAAGTTGGTTAGCAACGAATTCGCGATTAGTAAGAAATGTCCACAAGTTAGTTGGAAATGCTACAAACGCAGCAATGTTACAGAAAATAAGTGCAATTAGCGTAAGCAACGTGGCCACTGAATAGGAGATTATTCAGGTAGGCAAAACAAACCAATTAAAGTGAAAGGAAATGTATCCAGCTAAAAAAGACCTAGTTTAAGTGTAAAGTGGTTTAGCACAGCTGCGGTGAAGAAGCATCAATCATGCAACTTCATCCTCAGCATGGGGCATATATATATATATATATATATATATATATATATATATATATATACTCAACACTTGAGCGATTCACAATTGACAGTGCCACAACACATGGGAAGCAACTACGAAATGGGGAAAAACAGGAAGTCAACGGAAGGCTTAGGTGAGGGGAAACATCACTCCTTATACTAGACAATCAAGTGAGCCGTCAGATAGCCTCTTATCGAACATCAGCTGGCTTGTCAGAGCAGTATTATTAAGCACCCCCATCCCTTAGATACGAGTGATACCGTGCAAGCAACGGTGGTCAATTTGACCAGCCATTTAATGTCTTCAGCAAGGGGTAGTAGTTTTAATAATACGGAAACAATAGACATACTGTGGAATCGTATGTCATAGTTTTGTCCAACAGACCCGGAGATTGCACTTCACGACTTTACTATCAGAGCTTGTGCGTCTAAGTAAGCAAACAAACCGGGTCACTGCCTGATAAAGAGAAGTGACGGTCTACAGATTGGTAGCTGTATCACAAACTTGGAGGTATCATTAACCTACAGATTCTTGCAGTGCAAATCGTCAATCTGTCCGAAAGTGATCTGCGAAGCACTATTTCATCGGCACACTGAGGTTTTCATCGGTAGGTTGATGAACAAAACCTTTTCCACCAAAGAAGCAGAAAGAACAATGACTTGTGGTTCATTGTTGGCTTTATTTGAAGCACCCGTTGGGTGAATAAAATATGACATGCTATGTCAATCAAGACCACGACTCAAGTGGACTTTGGTCAGTTCGGTCATCACGGGCTCGTAGCTGAATCGTGATGCAATCTACTCAAACAATGGGTGCTTCAAAACAGAAGCAACAAAGAGTCATCAATCGTGGTGTCAAGTGTGGCCTGTGAGGCTAAGGTTATTGGTTAATGGAAACGACGACCTGCGCCACACTATATTTAGGGAAATATTGGGTCCAAACGTCAAGTTGAAATCTCAAAAGCATTCCTATATAACAAGAACCAGTCTTACGCAACTGAGAATACATTGATTAGCTTACCGAGAAATTGCGCGTGAACTCGTATCTGGTGTGTACGACCTGTGAAAAGACGACATAAGACTAAGCTTCTATCCGTCGCTTTGTCATACGTTAAACGTATGAAATGAGTAACAGCGGACTTTCCTCCAGCATTCTCCGGTAAAACTGCATAAACACCGAGTTTGCAGGACAAAGGGCCTAGCGGTTGACTGCACACAACCACACCAGCGGGAAGGTCGTCAGAGGAGTCTGAGCCTTGACAGAGGAAGAATCCGTCAACTTGACATAGGTAAAACTGAAAAAGAGGGGAAAAAATAAGGATGGAAGATGCAAAATATACCATTACATCGAGAGGAGGAGTGAGCAGTGGAGAGGGGTTTATGTCAACAAACAGATGCCACTAGTGGGTCAAGTCCGTGCTAATGCACGCCGACTCATCCGGTCATTAACGAATGCTTGGATAGTAATAAGAAACGCTTATTTTGCTCAAGCCCGGAATAAACCTTCGGAAAAAACTGAGTAAGCATTGCAAGAGACATAACGAAGCAAGTGGAGAAGATGCTAGATCAGATGACACGGCAAACAAACCGGGCAGGATGAAGTTGGAATGGATACAGGCTGGCGTTGCACCGGTAGTACAAAGGTCTCAAGCGCATATAAAGCAAAAATAATCTCAACTGGCTGCATTTCAGAAATAGGTTTGCCGTTGATAGAGGAAAAGGTGAGCGATAAATCCAAGCGATAGAACAGGCAAATATAGAATTTCATATGTTGAGACTAAAAACCCAGAAGGGAGACCAACAGAAGTGTCTGGAGCAACTTGAGAGTAATGACAACAACCACAGCATGATTCGAATTCAATTGATTCAGAAAACTTTATCTGGTTACTCTCCAGTAGACATAAACATGTAAGGTTCAGTATTGAGTCTTAGAGTACCCGCCGTGGCTGGATTACGGCACGCAATCTCGATTGAAACTAGTGTTTGGTTTGAATCAAACCTATACCATTACGATCGCTGGCGTAGTGACTGAGAGGAAAAGCGCAAAACATTGTCTGGTGCCCCTATCAGCTCAAGCTATCTCTAACTAACGAATCCAAATCAGGACGAAATCGGAGGGTCGCGGAGTGCAGGTTTGGGAGGAGCAATTCCGAAACTCTCAAATCGGATGCGGTCCCAGTGATCGAAATGGTACAGGATTGCTTCAAAGCAAACAATAGCTCCAAACAAGGTTGTGCTTTGCAATCCAGGCACATGGTAGGTACTTCAAGATCCAATAATGAAATCCTAACCACTGTCAAGCGCTGCTGCGGAGCTCTGGTTTAGTGACTGAGACGAAAGCCACCAGCCACTGTGTCGGGTTCCCTTCTCAGATTAAGCTATCTCTACCTGACAAGTTCAAATCGGGACGAAACCGGCCGATCGAGGAGTGAAGTGTTGGGAGAGAGAGGCTCAGAAACTCTGCAAGATGTAAGGTTATTAGTCAGGGAACATGTAAATATTAAGATTGCAGTGGGAAGCAAAATGTCCCTAAGTGTTGCAGCTGAACGCCGTCCAAACAAGGAAAATTAGTGAGCTATACTGAATGGTAACAGTGATAAGTGCCTACCCACTCGTTGGCCAGTGAATTTGTGAACGAGTCGAAAACATCCGAACCCACTCTTTGGAAGTAGTGTAGTCCTAATAAAACCCATTTGGCTAATCAATGAGGCAGGGGTTGAGGATAGTTGATGGACAAAGTGGAAAAGTGATAAGATGGACTACATACATATGCAGAATTTCACTATCAACCGTTCAGTCTGAGGTAAAGTCAGCTCGTTCTTATACCTTCAGCGTTCGGTATTGTAATGTGGATCAGTGTTCACGCGATACCACTCACCGTGTGAGGGTGACAGACAATGCAGCAGTCAGTAATTACGAGAATAATGCATTCAGTGCGATACTCCGTGTAAGAAGAAAAGAGGCATTACATGGAATGGACGCTTATTTCAGAAACATGACATAACAAACAAACGCACGATGTCTCAAGGTGAGACGCACGCAAAGCTACTAGTTCTTACTATGCCGCTCACCTCTGACTGACCAATGAGGTGCAGCGACTGCGCCCGAATACTCTGCTGAAACGAGATCTTATGCTTTAACTGGCCGATGAATCATGCGCATTATGCAGGAGGGTCTAGCCACACTGCGCTGGTGTGGCACAGTGCGTCGTCAGCCTGCAAGACTCGATCATTATGCTCGCCCTACGATAACCTGCACGCGACACTGGCGGTACTTTCTCACTAGGTCTATCCGGAGATCATGCAGCTTCGAATGCCGTTCAAGCCGGTGGGAGTATTGCCCTGATCTACCAGACTAAATCTGATGAGACCGACTGCAGTTTGTCCTTTGGTGATCGCCAAGTAAATCGGTGTGAGCGCTCGTGTTAAGCAGCTTTGCAGCTGATATTAAAAGTCCGTATCAGTGAACGACCATTGTCAGCACGGAATGCATCGGTCCCCAAACGGCCACCGAAACGATGTTTCGATTTTAACAGACGCCTGATTTCGGTATTCGTGTTGTCTGCCACTACAGTCAAAACTGCCTACGGTGAGCACTCAAGGAACTGAAAAAGGTGGTCGCCATAGACAGGTTCACGCATAGAGACGTTATTCATAAGAGAAAACTTTGGGGATGCTTTTGGCTGGTCGACACAAGCAGGTGGTCGCCAAAGCAGGTTGGACTGTATCACGACATCAGCACCTCTCGTCATTCGAAGTATGGACATATGAAGCTAATAGTATCCACCTTGGAAGCCTCCAGGTTAATCGGTTGAAGTGTAAATCGAGAGGATAAAACACATCTCGCCTTTAGCCACTACTTATAGACTTAAATGGAGTTCCGAAGTCTAATAACACATAAACGGTTATTCGTTGGGATTCAGTTTAGAGGAGAAGTTTAGGTACCTCTTGAGTGATCCCGATGGCGTAACTATAGGGAATTATCGACTCGGCGGTACGACAGACGCGGTGTGTAAACTACGTCGCTGAAACCATTGAGTGGATACATCAGGACACTGCTGTATCGTGTGCATGTTTTGAAAACCTGGTACCTATCGACCACAGGGAAGTGGAATATCATGACGATTCACCTATCCGCCGATCTGACACAGTGCGTACACGCAGAAAAACCATACATAAGATGGTGCCTTAGGTCCGACAAATTGCCAGGTTTCGTTACCGGTGTTCATGATGTATTCAGTAATGGTCTTTTGTTGGTAAACACGAGAAGAGGATTGGCAATATTTATTCATTATACACGTTAGCTAGATGTGGGAACACCACGGCCACAGCACCGCAATACACAAAAATAAGAAACAGACACAACACAGCCAGCTGAGACACCAGAATTGGATGGACATCGTTTCGAAGTGCTAGCAGCCGGGAGTCGCGCAGCAAAAAGTGTTATATTATGCATGGGATATGACATCGTGGTTGGATGGTCCAGGACAAAGAAACGCAAAACACAAACGCCACTGAGTTCGGGTCTTCGCTATGTCAACAAGCGTATCCAACCAAATGTGTTCACCGTTTTTCCGACTCCAATCAGGGAGTCGAAAGTCTCCAACCGAGGCCAACCTCCAAGTAAGGGGTTTCACTCCTCTTGACCAAGTCACCGCTTGGCCCCCTCTCCTCTTCTATCCACACCTCCGGCACGCAAACAACGCACGACGCGAAAGTCGGTGTTCTTGCATGCGCAACACGTGGTCAAGGCATCGGAGTCTGGTGCGTGAAATGACGGTGCTGAGCGGTTCGCTTCTTCTTCCTGTGCTATAGTTATGGAGCCGAAGACGTTCATTGCTCACGCGGTGTTCCCACCAAATGGGAGCCAAACTGTGAAGACAGTGGTGGTCAAACGTAACTAGCCTCTTTACGTTGCGGAGCTAATGAGCCAGGTTTCACAACCGTAGAGTAGGGTCGAGCGTACGGCTGCATCGTGCACTAATCTACAGGGAGACTGATATCGCACCGACGCAACAGGCGGCGGAGACTGGCAAAGACGTCGCGAGCTTTTGCTATGCACTTAGTGACCTTGTCATTGATTCTATCGGCGCTGATACTACTGCCTGGGCAGTTGAATTTCCGAACGGAATTATAGCTGACCCCTCCCCAACGGTCAGTGAAGGAAGCGGTCCCTGCGAATCTTGGAGAGAAGTTTTGCACTTCGAGGGTGCAAAGCAAAGTCCGAAGCAGCTGACAGCCAGTGCCAATCTGTTCAGTGCTGCTTGGCACTTTTGGGAGCTGTGACAGATTAAGACAATCTGGTCAGCGTACTCCAAGTCAAGAAGTCGTTCATCTGGGAGCAACTCCACACCTAAATGGTGTCCAGTGGACGCGATTTCCATGACTTCATCAATAGCGAAGTTGAAGGGGAAAGGTTGAGCGGGTATCCTTGTCTGACACTGTTAGAGATATTGAAGGGTGGCGACAGCTTGCTATAAGCTAACACTCTGCCAGAGCTAGGCGCGTATAGCGCTAGGATAAGATCTACATATTTCTCGGGCACAATTTGGCAGACAATGCTAAAGGATACGTCGATTCACAGAATCGAAGGCACGTTTGATGTCGAGGAACACGACAGCGGTGGGCCGCCAATATATGTGACGGTGGTCCAACAAGTGACGCAAAGTGAGGATGTGGTCGATGCAGTCTCGACTCCGACGAACCCCGGCTTGCTCTCCACGAATATGGCTTTCAGGAGTGCCAGTCAGTGTGTGAAGGATGACAGAGTCAAGCAATTTAGAGGCGATGGAGACCAGACTGATTTGTCGATGGTTACATCGTTCCGAACGTGAGACTTCATTGAAGATCAAGACAATAACGGAGCGGCTCCAGTCGGTTGGGACAGTTTCCTACTCCACCAGTTTCACTAATAACTCGTGAAAAAAGGAAGAGCATAAAACAAAAAAATTACTGGTGACGGTATGTTGACAGACTATACTCAACGGCTGTCCGTCCAGGAGGGTTTAGTTTGGGGGCACCTGCCTCTGGGTCACAACTCAATATGCTGATCCACAAGATAGCAGGGAGCACACCCACAAAGGAAGTGCGACTAGAGTGACATCGAGAATCGTTTAACGCTGGCCATACAGTCTTGGACGATTCAATTTTATCCACATATGCTTTCATACGTAGTGGATAACGCACCTGCGACGACAGCCAATCACAGTAGGAAGCTGGAAAGCACCTTATTGGTTAGGAGCTGTCTGGATTAAATTGGGTAGTAGTAAACCAATGGGAATCCGGTGGTGTTCGCCTGCCGTCAGCGACGTGTGGAGCTGGGCTTATAACCCATCGTCTACATTAGTCGATTTGAAATAAGTGCGCCATCGGACTCTTCACGACCTCCGAAGACGATGGCAAAACGGAGTTAGTCTGACCCCTAACCATAGACCTGTCTAGTATGAGCGGCTCTGAAGGCACATAGCGTAGCTTCGCGGATCACGGGAGTGCGTAAACCATTGAATCACATCAAGGTTCCGTCTCACCATGGCAGATTTCAGTAATCGGCTTTTCTATGTTGGTTAGCTTGACAATGCGAATTGATGTATCTGGGCTCAACACACTCCAGTGATGGGATTACGGCTGAGTACTCGACCTGAGAACCACATTAGAGATATGGTGTAGGACCATGAATGCGAGCATTGCTTTGAAATTGACAGGGCAAGGTGAAGAAAACGGCGATGAAAAAGAGCCGTCAACACAGCGCCTTCCAAAAAAGTAATACGTATTCCAACACATGCAATGAGGTTATCAAATCGCTAACTACGGCTGTTATAGCTAATACAACTTGGATTGTTGAAGCACTGGGAGATAATAGTCTGAAAATGTCGGAAGTAGCCTGGTGCATGGGTCACGAACGAAGGATGTCGAAAACTGTCGAGGGCAAATGAAGCAACCACAACGATCGAAATAAGTGATCAGTTATAAAACAAATCGTTGAAAGGGGTAACGTGTAATTAGGAGTTAAATTTCACGCATCACCGTAAAGGCCACACTTGTAAAATATCGCATAGTTGAATACATGATGGACACCTTGTTGTGTGTCAGTTTGAGTAGGAGTGCTAAAAAATGTGAATCGGTCAGTAAGAAAAAAATCAGCATAAATACCACAAATCGCAAGGAAGGTGTGAATCGTACCTTCTTTACCTGACGTTCATTGATCTGAGTTGTAAGACGAAGAGATGCGTCATAGTTCTTCGCAATAATGAGAAGGCCGGAGGTCATCCTGAACGCCATGTGCAGTAAGATTGTCGCATGTTACAGAGGGAGTGAAAAAAGGTATCCCATAAATACTGTAAGGAAATAACAGTACCGAACGCATAAAAGAAAAACAGTGTAATTGAGTAATGCTGGAGTCCGTCGTTTGACACTAAACCTAGTGATGTATTAAAATATCGGTCGAATTCGAAATGCCTAAACCGGTTAATCGATGTTCGGAATATCTGATAACTAGATGTTACATGGCCTGCCAAAGCTCTTCCAAGCCGGTTTAAATCGCTATGAGGCCTGTTGATGAAGTAGTAAATGCACCAATAAATTTCCTGAAGCTGAATCAGGTTTGTATGCGTCGTCTTCCTGAGAACAGAAGGGATTAATCTAACGCATCACGGCTGCGGAGTCAATGGGTTCATTCGAGTAGTTGTTCGACGTTCGGTTCAGTTCAATTGAACAACCATAATCTGAGTATCAAAGTGCGGTGGATCCACCTACCATGACTCACATGGCCAGAATAATAATAATAATCAGCAACGGCATGATAGTGGGGTTGACTGCAAGTAGCAGGTAAAGAAAGTGGAAACAAGAAGGAAGTGCGCTGAACTAATCAGAATGGAACGAAAATTAACAACCAGATGCAAGAAACTGAAATCAGGTACGCCACTGACTGTGTGACTGCGCCATTTCTAATACCTACTTCAACCACTGGTGTGCGCCATCCCGAGATCCCCATCCACGAAGACGGCACGAACCAGTTTGCCCAAATCTGTCAACCAATATCTTCACGCCTCTATGCCACGTCGTGGACTGGCCACCATATGGTGTCACCTAACTTAATGTAGCCAAGGAGTGTAATACATGCCGAAGAAGCCGGTCATGGTTTAGCATCCAGTACGTTATATACTTACCAAAGAAACCGGATATCCACATGTACTTGAAAACTGCAGTTTAACTGAATGTTAAGGAAGCGTTATAACTCGTCCGAGCTGTATCGACTCTTAGTCGGAACGAAGGAACTTTCTTCAGAGATGGTGCCACCACTCGAATTCGGAACGATGCGGGCTAACGTGACCTAGCCGCTAGATGTACAAGAGAGCTGTGACAACAGACGAAAGATGCGTAACCTAGCGCTACTGCACTAAGACCCGGACGAGGAAGACTGACACGCACATGAGCCGTCACATTTTGGTAGTGTCCTGAGGAAAACTCAGTTGGTGTCATGGCGGATTTGCGCGGTAACTGTCGCAGTGTGTTAAGGAGAATTCGCTAGGTTCACTGCAGCTTGCACACTACCATTTCCGAATCAATTGAATCGATAACGGAATTAAGCTCCTCCTTAAGCAAATCATGTTCCTCCATATGAACATGCAACTCAATCCATAAGCAAATCAAGTTGAATCTAAAGTGGCGAATAGGCACAAATGCGTGCCCATCGTCTTGACCGATGGCAAATCACTGTTCCAGTACTCAGAACACCTGCATCGGTTGATGCAGCGGTTAGACTGCGTTAAGCCAACAAACCACGTGACGCACACACTGACGTAAAGACAACACGTGAGCTCAGTCACTACAGGATGCGGTGCCGACTAACACGCGGCATCCACTCACTCACTTATGCGACATCAAGACGCAAGACACCGTTGCGCTCAGACGACCGAACGTGACATGTGATCCACAATGAGACAGTATCGATTGCCTTCACTGAAGGTAGCCGCATGCCAGCTAGCAGACAGGTCCGCCAACCTCACATGCTTAGTGGTGTCTACGTGTGATCGGGTGTGGATAATAGTGCCTAGGTGAAATAATTAATGCGTGCGGGGCTTCACTACGCGCTATCATGGAACAATGCGTCAGTTATCGGTGGGTCTGGCCGAATTAAATGTTAACTGCAGTTGATTGGCCTTAATGATGAGGTTAACATCAGCATCTGCACAGCAATGCATGATGTATTGCACCGAGCTTTGCGGAAGAGTACCGCGTTAATTGTGATAAGGTTTTCGGGTTGACAACAGCTTTCATTTGCTGATCTATATGCAATCGCTAGTATATTGCAGCCATTGACAGGGTGAAGGAATACATTTGTAAAGAACCGTCGTGAGTTCGTGTGAAACGAAGATGAAACGATAATCCATGTTAACGGTAGCGCACTGCTCATTAAGATGCCGAAATGCGACGCACTGGGTATGGTGAAACGCTGTTTGACTGAAGAGATTAACCTGGGGAGTGTATGAAGCTTAAGGTGGTTGAAACAACCGAGAGTAAGACATTGCGCGGTATATTGTTCTAGCTCGGGTTTCAGTCGGAAGTAGGCACTGAAGAACATGGTGTTATCATTAGATCGTCAGTGTCCACTATTTTGTACATAGTACTGGCAAACGCCAATAAATGGCCAACAGTTGTTGGTATCAAGTGGATGGCACATTTTGAACATAAAAGTGGATAAGAAAAGCTAGTTTGTGAGGAATCTGAAATCGCTCACCAAGGAGTGGCACACAGCCACTCTTTGACTGCTCTGTTTGCAAGAATGATTAGCTTCCAGACCGATATTTCGTCAACTGGCGGACTCAGATAGAACATAGCACTACAATTCCTGTTTCACAGAGATAAGAATGTTGGGAACGTAGCTTGCAAATAAACAGTCGGTCAATTTAAAGCACATGCCTGGATTCCGACCACGCTCTAGTGCGCGCATGCTTGGGGCTCACTCTTCCCGCTTCAAAAAAGTGTTCACTTGTAATATTGCTTGTAACTTAAACTAGCAATCTGCAGTTCAACAATACCATGACGAATTGGCACACCAAATGTAAGTGATAAAGGAGGTTCGTGAACCGAACGCTGACTGGGATCGTCACAAATATGCCATAAAGAATGTCTGGGCGCTTGCAATGCACCCTACTTGAGACATCGTAACTGTGTTTGGATCTCTGAGGCATCGATCAGTTTGATCGAAGCACGGAAAGAGGTTCCGATGGGTACTGAAACGACGTCCGGCAAGAAGTCTTCGAATCGACGGGGAACGTTGGTAGATAGCAAGGACCCGTGAGATGGAAAGTCAGTTCCACTGGGAACAGCTGAGTGCTTTTCCAGCTCATCCGGAACACAGGTCCGAGAAAGTCATCAATTAGCGAGACAATAGTTGAAAAGGCGGACAGCTGATTCATGTTCACCGTCGTCGACTAACTCGTTGAGCGGAAGATTTTGAAGAACAGTTCAGCAGGAGTACTGCGACACTGCCGCTTGTTGAAACGTCTGGGCTGACGTGCAAAGTAGATGACACACCAATTTTGGAAAGGATTCGACATGACATTTCCGTGTTTAAACGAAATAATGCTTATCTTTGCTGAAAGATGGTGGTACCCGTCGTTGACTGGCCTTGCTTTGCTAGTTAACACGATTTAGAACACTGAAGAGGTGCCTACAAATTGGCAACTGTCAACCGTCGCGCCCATCTTCAAGAAAAGTCAGCGTACTATGCGCGAAAATCATCGAGGCATTAGCCTTGTGTCCGTTGCAATCAAACTACACACGGGTACCATTCTTCGACGACTTAGTGGTCCCCGTTAAAACCGAATCACTGTAAGCCAGAATGGCTTCCGCCCTGGTTGTGGCTGCATCGATCACATATTTATTTTTCGCCAAGTTTTATAGAAGAAACACACATACAAAAACCGACTATGTTAGTTTTTCTTGACTTGAAAGCCGCCTTGAACTTTGTTAACAGCGCTAGCATGTGGTCATAAAAATAACGATATATTAGTTGTAGGCTGTAACGGCGCCTCACTGCCGCGCGACCACCACCAGTCGCCCACCGGCTGAGTACACCGCGAGAACACCCACCTCTACGCGCATTCGAACCGGTGACCTTATGGTTGCAAGTCAAGCGTGCAGACCACTCGGCCACCGGCCTAATGAAGGAAGTGCTCGCTAAATTTCTTTTCATTATGTCGTCTCTACCGTGACTCCCAAGGCCATGTAAGGGTCCAAGGGAAATTGCCTTGTGAGTTCCCCACGACAAGTGGGGCTAGCTAGGGTTGTTTGTCTCCATTAATATTCAACTTTACGATCGAAATGATCGTGAATGACTCGGTTCGTTCAAACTTCTACCAGGTGACCGACTAACAAACCAAGAGTATGCGGACGACATGGTTCTTCGTGGGTCTGAAGCAGTGGCTATGTAAACACTAATGGATAGCCTGACGCTTAGCGCTGCACGCTTCGGCATGTGCTTTATACCTACAAAGTTCAAAGTACTGCTGCAAAACTGTACCGAGATACTTTCGGTACTAGCTATCATCGAACAGCCACTGGAAGTCGTGGATCGGTCTACTTACTTTGGTAGCTGTGTCACCTTTGGTGGTCACATCATTTAAAAACTTACTACGCGTATCAACAAAGCCCTGTGGCTTTCTAGTGACCCAACTATCTATGGAGACGGTGGGATATTAGACTGTTAGTGAAAGGTGAATAACGCTGCGGTAATGCCGATATTATGTATGTATCAGAGACCTGTTCAGTTCCCGACGAGAACATTAAACGATTGGCCGTGTTTGACCACCGGTACTTGCTGAGCATTGCTCACGTCTGGTGGGAACACCGGGTGAGCAATGTTGAGGTCCACCAGTTGGTTTTGGCCGAAAACCTGGTTCCTCACTCGAGTGTTTACTGAACCTTAACGGCTTACGCCAGCTAAGCCATATCCTCCGTATGCCCATGGACCGGTTTCCTCGGCGTGCATTGCATGCCGTGGCTGCACCGTTACGTAAAAGCACGAATTGGCCAGTCCATGATGTGGCATAGAGGCATGAAGAAATTGATTGACAGACTTGGACAGGCCGGTTCGTGTCGTCTTCGTGGATGGGGATCTCGGGATGGTGCATACCAATGGTTGGAGAACGTATCAAACATGGCGCAGTGGCGTAACTGTATTCGGTTTCTTGCATCTGCTCGTTACTTTTCTGTCCAGTCTGATTAATTTAACGCACTTCCTTCTTGCTTCAATTCGCTTGCATG